CTTTCTTACTAACCGTTCACTGAAATTTCCAATAACTAGTTGATCTGAATTTTCCAAGTAGACTGTGATCACATCTATAAATAGTGACAATTTTATTTCCTCTTTTCTAATTTTAATGCTTATTTTATTGCCCCTTATAGTACTTCCAGAATAATGTTAAATGTTAATAGAGATTTCTGGCTCCCCTTTCTTATTTACCTGATATGCTTGGATTTGTATTTCCAAATCCAGTGGCATCTTTCCCACTGTCTTTCCTTTGAATCTTCAAAAGCATTTGACCCTCTTGATTTCTTCTTTTCTCTTTCTTCTTTCTGTATTTTCCTTCCTTATGATGTTACACTGTTTGTAGTTAGTATGCTATAAAAAAAAAGGTGGCTATAAATGCTCTTGCTTGTTATGGAAGGATATTTATTTTTAACTTTCTGTTTTGTGTATGGTAGTATTCTAGGGGCTGCTTATTACTTTTCTTAAAAGACTCTTGGTTTGGAGATTTTTGCAGGGAATTACCTTATCTAAAGAGTGATGCCTTAGGAGGTTATCCATTAGCTGAGCCAAACTCATCAGAACTTAGGTCAGTGCTGGGATGTGCAGTGGCATCTGAGAAGAAGGACGTGTGCGCCACGTGCTTTTTAATCTCTGGTAGAGCATTTTAGGAAATTCTTCAATCGTGATTTGATTTGCACTCATTCCCTAAGATCTCTTCATAGAAGATAAAGGTTCAGAAATAGTCACATGAAAGAGAGCATGTGTTACGTATATTGAAGTAGCTGATGATTTAGAAGATTTCTTAAGATATGGCCATACATCAAGACCTCATTATAAACAATGATCATTATATAATAGAGCATTTCCTTTTACACTTAAGCTTTCTTATTTTTATACATAGATAATAGGTATTTGGAGGAAGCCCTAAGAGGAGAATGCCGGTTTACTTTTGTGTATTCAATGTTTTCTTTAGATTGTTTTACCAGATAAATTTGTATTCTGATTACCAAGGAATAGTTATTGCAGAGATTTTAGACAATACACAAATGTATGAAAAGGAAGTTTGTTGTCAAATAATGATAATGCATTGAACATAGGCAGTTAGTTTTGTTTCCACCACAAGTTGCATTAAAATAACAGGAAAGGTATTATTTTAAGTGCACAAACTACAAGGATCGAGAAAACAGACAGCAGCAAAAATATTTTGAAAGCTGGGAACAGATGGTCATATGGTAATGCATTTAGCAGATGTGAGGAATCAGCCAGTTTACGTGACAGAATCTCTCAGTCTCAGGAATTGGTGGCAACAGAAATCTCTAGAAGTTGGAATAAAAGGAGGCTAAAATCGTTTGTATAGGTTAAAAACTGTTTGAGAAGCACTTATATCTCCAAATCTTCTTCCAATATTTGGTAGATGCCCAGAGATGCTTACTCTCTGGAGATAATGAAGAGCAAGTCTATGAGGGGACATTGGCACAACTGAGGACTGGAATACCTCACAGAAAATAAAGGTGCAGGGTGATTAAATAACAACCTTACACCTCATGTTCCCCTCCTCAGCCACTTGGCCTCCAGTACACTGACAAAGTCGGCTTCTGCTCTCCAGACAGAGGGCTGGAAGGATCTTTCTGTAGAATCTGAACAACCCCAGAGATTTCTCTAATGAAATAGCCCCACTGCTCACACTGTGGTGAGGGCATGACAGAGAAGTGCTCCCTGTGTGCTCAGAACCTCCACTTTGTTTTTTTTGTAGTTCCCATTCTTAGGTGTGAGCAATTAAGGGTATTTGAAGAAAGCCTATAATGTGTTAGAGCCTAAATAAGCAGAAGAAAGTAAGGTACAAGGAAGGAAAACTACAAAAAAGTATATTGCAACCATGAAACAGGATTGGATGCTATTTAAGAAAGGAATATTCTAGAAACAAGAGCTTTTGGATATTGAAACTATGATAGCAGAAATGAAAAGTTTTGTAGCAGAAAAAGTATCTTCAGAGAGGTAAGGACAGAAATTGCAACCATGAAACAGGATTGGATGCTATTTAAGAAAGGAATATTCTAGAAACAAGAGCTTTTGGATATTGAAACTATGATAGCAAAAATGAAAAGTTTTGTAGCAGAATTAGAAGGCGGAATTGAAGAAAGTTCTCAGAAAGTATAGCCAAAAGAGGAGAGAGTAAAATAAAATTAGAGGACCAGTCTAGGAGGTCTAAATAGTAGGAAAACTAGAGAAAACAAAAAATGGAGGAGAGGAACCCAGTAACAAAAATTTTTAAGGAATTTTTTCTAGAACTCATGAACATAAATTTACAGATTAAAAGGACACTGAATTCCCAGGATGTAGATGAAACAAAATACACTCACAGCAAGGTACTACTACTGTGAAATTTCTGAACACTGAGGGAGAAATTACAGGGAGAAAACAACCAAACCAGCTAAAACCAAAGAACCTGGATTGTGAGTATTAGCCTCCTTAGTAGCAGTACTGAAAGCTAAGTCGGTGAAGCATGCCTTTCAGAATTCTGAGGGAAAATTGCAACCCTCGCCTTCTAGAATTCTTCACTTAGCCACTTTCAGTAGTCATTTTTAGACATCAAGGTCATTGAAAATTATTCCACAGGAAGCTACTCGATGTGCTTCACCAAAATGGAGTAAGCCAGGAAAAACAGATGTGGAATTTAGGAAACAGGAGTTCCAGCAAAGGAGAATGGCAAAGGGGATTCTCAGACTGATGGTGAAGTGAGGTTGTGGGGATAGAGGAATCCAGATGTGAGTGGATGAGAAGGTTCTAGAAGGGCTTCCTCCAGGAAGATGAAATTGGTAGACTGCACGATATATGTCTTAACTTCTTGAGAGGTGAGTCAGACAGTTGGTAGGTGGTTTTGGATTGAGTACATAGAAAACTAAGGGGAAAAAAAACAATTATTCACACCAGAGCAAACTGTTGTGCAGTAAAAGAAAATTAGTGACACATTAATACCCATAGTACAGCTCTGAATAATATTTACACCCTCATGAGAATAGAAACTGAATATTGGTTCAGCCAAAATTACTATATAACCATGTTAGGAGGATGAGAGGATGAATGAAGGGGTGGGTTTGTATGTATATGGGTGTGTGTGGGTCTCTGACAGGAAGAAAGAGGGTCACATCTTCATTCTTAAGGAAAGTGAACAGACAATACATTGAAAATTGAAAAGAAGCAGTACATTCATGCTTAGCTCCTTGGTGTTAAGAAAAATAAGCTACAAGAGTTGAGGAGGAGGAAATTGATGACATAGGAGAACAGGGGGTCTGATAGTTTTTATAGCAAACCTTTTAGAATTATTTAACTCTTTAAATTATGTGCATGTATAATTTTGATACAAAAAAAGTTAACTAAAAAATAGCAATTGCTACAGTGACTTTGTTACACTTCTTTGTGTATACACACACACACACATACGTTTTCTTGGAATGTTTGCTGTGGTTGACCTTGGGAACACAGTGCAGAAGAGAATCCATCCCATGAAAACTTTCTATGAAATACTGAAAAGCAAATTCCCAACAGATACTATGGAAAATAATAGGTCATCTATAGTTCAATTTTCAGCTAGTGAGATGTCTGTAAAGTCAACTGAAATCGTCACTAGTAGTTAACACACTTGGGAGACACTCTTGTCACATTACATCTGTTGTCATATTATATTCTCACACAAACTACAAAGTAAATATTGTTATCTGAGGATCAGAAGGGGCAAGTAGACTGCCTAAAATCTTACAGCAAGTTGGTGGCTGAGGTTAGAACTTTGGTTTCCCAGATTCCAAAACTATCCCAGGTTGTGATCAATTGAACCATTTTTCTAGGTAACCTGGTATCTGCTATGAACAAGGTCAAACATCTGTCTTTCAGGGAAGCTGATACAAAGATTGTTAAGGGTACCTTGACACTGGGAGATGACATTTTCTTTGTTTGAAAGATACAGAGGAGAAAATGTTAAATAAGCAAAAGATATTATCTTTAATTTCTTCTGTGAGGGAGAATTTAACACAGTTGAGTACCTGAATTCACCAGCAGAGTCCACACTAGGTAAACTAGAATTCATTAGGCATTTATTGGGAACCCTCTAACTCAAACCCTTAGAGCTTCAGAAATGAGCAAGACACCAAGGAGCACATACATCTGTTGCACTGTGGATGTTTGTTCAATGTTAAAATGCTTTGAGGTAAGATACGACCTCTTATGAGGGAGACTGCATATTTGCTCAACTTTTGTTTAGTTGATGGTTTGGACCATGGTAGCTTGATTTTAGAATGGTCAACCTATGTTCTTAAATTCATTCTTACAACTTTAATGAACTTGGAATATTTACCTCTAGACTAGCCTTTCCCAGAAGCATCCTGCAGAGCTTTGGTTCATTAAGATGATTGTTAAGTCAAGAGGAGACTGTCCACATAATTTGGAGAATCCTGTATATAATCTCCTCCTTTTGGAGATTTACAATGCGTATCAGAATATTAGAGACTCTGAGATGGTTTTGTATGAAAGAAACATGTTTTACAGTTTCCACAATTTTCAAACGTGTTCATTTTTCTAACCAACTTTTAGAATTGCATGGAAAACGGGGACTCCAGGTTATGTTCCTTTGGCAGAAAATCCATACATTGTGACCTTAGGTTCCTTTTAGCTCTGAAATACTATGGCTTTACAATTTTGATCATTAGTCATTGATTTATAACTTGTTGGGTTATAATTATCAGATATATACATAAACAATGTCCTCTTTTACCTTCAGAATCATATCTTTGAGGCATAATCATGAAGGTTTGATTATGATTCATCTTATTTGAAATGTAATTTGGAAAAATATACCCCAGCATTAGAAATACAAAAAAATTAGAAAAGTAGGATATTTTTGAAATTTCCACATTCTCTAAAGAAATTTTTAGTTTTCAGTTCTCTTGTTGTAATGTAAGAAGACTTCAGTCTACTGCGGAGGAACGTCAGTAACATAATTGGTTCATTCTTTTTGCCTAAAGGAGGAAGACAATGGTCCTATAGTGCCCTTGGATGAAAACGGAAACTTTTGAGCTGCAGCTTCAGTTTATCCTCAAAGCCTGCATTGTTTGTCTTCATCTAAGCCAGCTTTGATGGACGTCTGTGACAGTTGCCTGTACACATGCACTAATGAAATACTAGAAATGGCTGTACATTCAAAAGAAACCCCATATTATATAGTCACATCACTGCAGCTAGTATTCATATTTTTGCACATACTGTTTATTGCTTATGTGTCAAAGAAATGAAACTAGTTTTCAGAGTTATTATTAATATGAATATATATAATGTATGAATATTGAGGCAGGAAAAATACATTCCCAGTGTTAGCAGTCCTTCATTTCCTGTCTCCAATGGAAAATTCGTTCATTCAGAGAATAATGTAATTCTTGTTAATAAATAAGCTTTGATCAAGAACAGCATACAGCTTCAAAATGGAATGTGAAGGATTAGTAAAAATCCTATCTCCTGTTATTTTTCAGCCCTCATGCCACAATTTATGTAAGGCTGGTTTGTTATGGAAAACAATTTGAGAGTTAATGCAAGAACATAATATTCACTTTATATATTACTTTCATAGAAGATTTAATTGTATGAATCTGATTGTATTTATTTGACAGAAGCTGTGGTTTCTAGAAATTTGAGAAAAGTATAAGAAATAGGGTAAAAAGACAGTGGGTACAATGTACCAGGCATAGCTTTATTTTCCATGGTAGAAATATGAATTTAAGAGTACTCTGTGATAACTTAATGTACATTTTATAAGACTTTAAAATATTTTACTCTATGGATTTCACTTCTTCAGTCTATTGGGACTTTTCTTTCAAAGATGACCAAAAATATTCTAATTTTAAATAATTAATTTTAAGTGCTACCAGCAAATTTAAGCATTTGCTTAGTTTGCAGTTAGATGTGACAGAATGAGATAATTCATTAAAAGCGGTAGAGTGCCTGGCACAAAGCAAGTACTTAATAAATGTATTTTGTTATTGTTATTATTGTAAAACTAATGACTTCATTAACATACTCCCAATTTGGAGGGTTTTTATAATGCACAACATCTAAGTTAGAAATAACACTGGTGGAACAGACATGTGTTGAGAGATTTTAGATGTGTTGGGTAGAGGTTGTAATAATGAAAACATTAAATACAAATCAAAATTACACCAAGTGTCCTGGACAACAGAAACAAAGAAGGTTCGTCACTGAGCCTTAGGCTGGAAGAGAAAGGCCTAGAGCAGCAGCAGAGCGAGGGAAAGTGGAGACTTCAAGGAGTCGGGAACACAGTAGGGCAGCATTAGGCAGAACCTTGCAGAAGCGGAGGAATCCCTGGGCTCTTCCTTTCTGGATCCTCTTTTACACAAAAATGAAGAAAGGGCAAAGTGTGGTTACAAACACTGGCACATGTAAACACTTACAGACTAAAACTGAACCCACACACTTGCCAGACATTGACTGCAGGGGTAGCCTGATGGGTTGGTACTGAGCAGGGAGAGGCTGTTCTTGGGCCTAACTTCTGATGCTTGTTGTAGTCTGTAACCAACCGTCTCTGCAAAAGACAAAATCAACACACATAACAACAAAAACTAGTTCCAGTGACTTCCAGGGTAATACCTAGTTGCCCATATATTTTTTTTAATTAAAGCAATCAAATTTATTTACTGTTCATTTTCTGAGTCAAAAGGCTGAGATGAACTATTTGGTTTGGCTCTGGTGTCCCTTGGTTAGACTGCAAGGAAGCTTCATATTCTTTCATATGGAAAACCCCTTCATTCCACATTAGGTATCCCACACTCAGCTATGAATGCTGCTTATAGTGATGCTTTTGTAGAAATGAATTTGAAGAGTAATTTGTCCATCAAGTACAAAACAGATCTCCAGTCTATCCTGTTTTGATGAAGGCATGGTAAAAAGCATAGGGTGCATAATGGCCCTGAAGCTGGGGAAGGGGCCTCCCAAAGCAAAACAATGTGGTGAGGGGAGGGAGACAGGGGAAGTTAACTAGTTAACTAGGAATAAATGACAAATTTCACAGATTCTGAATTTTAATTCAGGGTGGATTTTGTTTACCTAACAGAGTAAAAGGCAACAAATAGAGGTGTTTTTTCACATAGTTTATACATACGCAAGCACCTCTGATTCAGGGTAATTAATGTACCTCAGGGTGTGTAAAGTAATATTGTTCTCAGAAGGTTTGTCTATTAAGATAGTTTGTGTTTTGTCCTTTTTGTTGGTCAGTCTAGCTAAAGGTTTGCCAATACTGTTACTCCTTTCAAAGAGCCAACATTGGATTTTTTACTTGTTTCTATTGTGTTTCTGTTCTCTATTTCATCAAATTCTTCCCTAGTCTTTATGATTTCCTTCCTTCTGCTTGCTTTGGTTTGTTTCAGAATTGTAACATGGAAAGTTGGGTTATTGGTTTGAGATCTTCTTTTTTAATAAAGGCGTTTGCAGATACAAATTTTCCTCTAAGCATTGCCTTAGGTGCATCCCGTAAGTTTTGTTTGTTATGTTTTGTGTTTTCTTTCACCTCAAAGTGTTTCCTAACTTGCCTTGTGATTTCTTCTTTGAACCAATGGTTGTTTAGGTGTGTATTGCTTACTTTCCACATATATATGAATTCCCAAATTTCTGGTTTTGATTTGTAATTTCCCTCCATTGTGGTCAGAGAACATTCTTTGTATGATTTCAATCCTTTGAAATCTATTGAGGCTTGTTTTTTTTTTTTTTGCCCTAATATATGGTTTATCCTGGAGAATGTTCTAAGTATACTTATGAAGAATATGTATTCTGCTTTTGGTGCTGATGTGTTCTGAATATCTCTGTTAGGTCTGTTTGGTATATGGTGGTGTTCAAGTCTTCTATTTTCTTGTTGGTCTTCCTAGTTCTCTCATTGAAATAAGATATTGAAGCCTCCAACTATTGTTACTGAATTATCAATTTCTCTGTTCATTTCTGTCAGCTTTTCCTTCATGCCTTTTTGGCTCTGTTGTTAAGTCTATATATGTTTATAATTCTCACATCTTTCTGAAGGAGTAATTCTTTTATCATTATAAAATGTCCTTATTTAGCTCTAGCAACATTGTTTTTTGCTTTTAAAAATACTTAGGATACTTGGTGAAGGGGGGATCCTAGTAAACATAATGTTCTTCATGTAATTGTAGATTAATGATAACAACAACAAAAAATACTTAGGATATTAGTAGAGCCACTCTTGCTTTCTTATTGTTGTTGTTTGTATGTAGATCTTTTTCTATCTTTTCACTTTCAGTCTGTTTGTATACTTAAAACTAAAGTGGGTCTCCTATAGACAGTTTAAAGTTGTATCTTGGTTTCTCATCCAGCCTGTCAACTTTCCTGTCCTTTCATTGGATTGTTTAACCCATTCATATTTAATGTTATTGTTGATATAGTAGGATTTATGTCTGCTGTTTTACTCTTTGTTTCTACATGTCTTGGGTCTTTTTTTTTGGTTCTTCTCTCTGTCCATTTTTTTTGCATTGTGTGAATATTTTCCAGTGTGCTGTTTCAATTGCTTGAATCATTTTTTTTTTACTTTCTTTGAGACTTATTTTCTTAGTGGCTGTCTAGAGCTTACTATGTACATGTTAATTTATCAGAATCTACTTCAGATTTATATTAACTTAATTACAGTGAGATATTAGAAATATTACCTCTATATTCTCTATTCCTTCTTCTTTACCCTTTTTGTGCTATTACTGTTTTATGTATTATTTCTATATATGTTACAAACTCACCAATATATTGTTATAAATTAATATTGTATATAATTGTCTGTCCATTAAAGAAGCTAAGCAAAACAAAGGAGAGCAAGCATATGTTTATAGAATTTCTTGTATTAGCTTTCTTATTTACCATTTTTATTTCTTTTAACTTGGTTCTGTGGATTCAAATTACCATCTGCTGTCACTCTCTTACTCCGATATTGTTTTGTTCTCATTCACCTGATTTGTATTGTTAGTCTCAGATATGTTAACATTTCTGTACGTTCTAAGCCTAATAGTACAATTATATAGTATTGTTTTATATTATGCTTTTTAAATAAGAGAAAAAGGAAGGAATATGCATTTTCTTCTCTTTTACAATTACATAATCACTTTTACCAATGCTTTTTGTTTACACTGGATTCAAATAATTATCTGGGGTCACTTGATTTCAGGCTGAATAATTTTATGTATGTCAAGTCTTCTAGCAACAAATTCTTAGTTTTTGTTTCTGTGGAAGTGTCTTTATTTCAACTTTACTTGTGATAGTTTTGATGCATATAAGATTCTTGGTTGACAGTTTGTTTTTTCTTTAGCACTTTGAATATGACATCTCAGTGCCTTCTGACCTCCATTGTTTTTGATGAGATGTCATCTGTTAAACTGAATGGGTTCCCTGCTAAATGACAAGGCATTTTTCTGTTGCTGCTTTCAAAATTTTTTTTTCTCCTGCTCTACCTGCCCTCCTCCCCAACCCTATATTCTTAATATGATATGTCTGGGTGTGGATCTCTTGTGTTTATCCTGCTTGGAGTTTACTTTGCTTCTTTGATGAGTAGATAAATATTTTTCATCAAATTTGCTATGTTTTTGGTCATTACTTCTTAAAAATCTTTTTTATGCTTCTTTCTCTTTCCCTCTGGTAGTCCTATTATGTATATATTAGTGCACATGTAAGTGTTAAATGTTTCTCTGAGCCTCTGTTCATTTTCTCCCCTTTATCATCCCTGCCTCCCTCATCCCCCAGGTTTGTTTTTGTTGTTGTTTGGTTATTTGTTTAGGGACTTGGCTGGACTATTTTCATCACATCTATTACTCCATGCAATGTGAAGCATTTGATGTGGTTCCTCAGGGAACTGCAACTCTGGGCCTATGCACAGTTATCTTGGAATCATTTAACTGCACTATCTTTCTCAGTCTCTTCCATTGCTCTTTCTGCTCTGCTATTCCCTCCATTGGTATCACATTAATTGTTAGCTGATAGCTCTGTTGTTTTTGACAATGCCCTGGGGCATAAATTGCTCCACATCTGGTTCAGTCAAATTTGGGTCCCTTGCAGGAGTAGTTTTAAGGCCAGCTTTGAAGTTTGTTCTGATCCCAGGAGAGTTTTTCTTGGCTGTCTTTTTTCCTGGATCTCTCTGAAAAATTAGCCAGTGGTTTTATTTGTTACCCTCATACAGTGATCAGTCTCTTCTTAATTGCTTGCCACCAAAATCTCCATTGTTTCCCAGAGCACCCTTAGGCTTGAATGTCCTCACACTTTGTTACTAATAAAGTCAGTTTTTTGGAGAAGGCTTGGTGCTCTTTGTTCTTATCAGCTCCTCTTTTTCTAGGTAAAAGTTTTGAATCAGCTCTTGAGCTGTTAGTGGGGACAGTGGCTTGCTTCTTGCGGCGTGTGAGCTGTTAGTGGGGATAGTGGCTTGCTTCTTGCGGCGTGGCACTCCTTGCTTGCAGATAGGGTTCTGGGTAGGGGCAGTAACTTCTGGTCTTTGTGTCTGTCCTCTGCCAGCATGTAATTTCCACTGCATGAATGAGCTGAGGCAAAGGTGATCAAAGCTCCAGTATTCTCAGCCTAATGAACCTGATGTAGAACCTCTGCTCTCTGTGTGTGGACTGGATAGAAGAGTCCATGAGCTCTTGGCTGTAGTCTCCAGGGATTTAGCCTCTGCAACCTTTTTAGTATTCTTTGATTGGGAATTGAGGGAAGAAGGAGCTCCATCTTCCCAGCCATACCCAACTAAAGTGATTTAATCATCCTGAACTGGAGTAGAAGGGAGAGAGTGAGTTTATGGCTCAAATTCCAAATATTGTTCTTACTGAGATTTAGAGATTTCTTGAATACATTTTTCTCCATTTCAAATTTCCAGACACTTTAAATTTCTCTTTATTTATTTATTTTAAAAATTCAACCAGTTATGGTGGTTTTGCTGGGAAGCAGGTCTGTTGAGCTCCTCATCTTGGCGTTCTGGAAATAATTCTCTATTATCTCT